AGGAGGAGTCGTCCTGGGCTACGTAAATGTGGCCTCAATCGAGGCCACAGGGGCAAGCTACTGCATCGGCACTCGCCTTGATAAAGCGAGTATATTAAGCTACTACTACGAGGGCGCAAGCCTAGTTACGGATAGCGAAGAACTGTCTTTAGTAAATGCTAGCTGCGAAATAAGCGCGCTCTTGGGTCTAACGAATAATCAGTTGCGAGCAGGCAGTAACAGTGCAAATAGGGCATGCGGGCGCAGAGCTGAGGTTTAGCACACCAGACTATAAAGCCCTAGGACGATCCTGTGACATAGCGATCGCCAAAAACAACAACAATATATGTTAACTTGTAAGCACTGCCCCGTGTTGAGATATTTGTGCCAAAAAATTCCAAAGACAACCTCGAATAAAAAACTATTCAAGCCTTCGCTGGGGACTCGTCTGTACTCCAAATGCCAAAGAAACCTTGTGAACGTGACCGATTCAAGTATTTTCGACAGCATCGATGCCGAGGATGGGATTCGGACGAATACTTCAATCTTGTGCTACCCCGAGAGGCTAACAAGAGACTGAGCGAAATCCAAATAAGTTTAACTCTCTGAGGTAGTTGTGGATGCTTTGTTATAGTTACTGGGGAAATGAGGCTCTCGAATAAAATACACTAGGGCAATGCAGTTTGCCCTAAAAGCTAATCAATGCATCTAAAACAACTAAATAACTCCCATCGGTTTAAGACCTCGTTAGACGTTAAGGTTGCATGTTCCCCTCGAATCATGTCCTCTAAACAGGATCATCTTTAGAAGGAGGCTTTATCGCTGGAACATGGTGTTTATGGGCCTGACGTTCCGGGATTCTTCTCAAACCCATCACCAAAGACAGCTGTAGAAACTGGTTAATCCTCTTTACCCCTCTTTTCCAATCCTAGCCACGTCCATAGTTTAGGCACCGACGAGTGTCAGGTCTCATTAATCGTATAATCTAAAAATTGAAGTCGGCATCTTTCAAGTCGAAAAAAGCGGCTGCCCGGTGTATGTGATGAAGCAAAACTGGGAGCCTTCATCAGACCTAATCAAACATCACAATTTTCTCGATTGTCAAACTGGTGGTGGGCAGACGACTAATACAGAAGTAGCGCTGCTTTAAACCGTTTTATGTAAGCGGATTTGACAAATCTATGTCATTTTATGAAGAAAAACATGCCAGCAGTAAGCGTGCTGCGCTTTCCGCCTATCTCAAGTAGCGATCGCACCTCTGTGTTCAGGCAGAGGGATGAAGGAAGCGCCTGCGAAATCGCAGGGTACATTTTTGTAGGTACTAAGGTAAGAAGAATACAGACATAGTGATTGATACACCTTATAAGCGGAGTGTGGAAGAACCATATTCTGCTCGACTAAGTCTTTTATTCGGGAAAGTAGATCTATGACAAGTAGGTCGTATTATTCCTCCGCCGAAACTTGGCCGAAAACCTCCGCATTCAAATTAAGTAAGAAGCAACAGACTTTAAATACGTGACCTTGATTTTTCAAGGTCACCAACTTGCTACTGCTGCTCACAAATCTCAGCTGTTCGATACAAAATTATAACACATCTACAGACCTGTGCTAAGTTCAGGAAATGAAAACTGCGCGCTTTTAGCAATTTAGTCAGGGGGAGTTTCTGCAAAAGACCGTAAAAGCATTTTTTTCAGACTGCACGGGAAATAAAAAGGATTATTTATTCTAACTAACATTAAAATACTCTACTCCGAATCAAGTAGTAAGCCAACAGTGAAAACATTGAATCTAATTTGCGAGCATACGTTTGCTTCCAATAAGTTATCATTTGATTGAACACGGGAGTAAAAAGTTGCCAGGGTAGCAAATGATATGCCCGCGGGGGCTCTAGATTGAGCTACTACGCAAAAAGTGAAGAGTTTGTTCCCTAACCAGATTGATGAGTTCCCTACCATTAATTACATTCCCGATTGCAACCAACAAAAACAACGGGCCTGTAGCTAAATGTTAAAGCGTCACATTCCATGACCAAAGGGTCGTGCGTTCAAATCTCGGGTGATCCACACTTGGGATCGGCTGATGACGGCTAATAAGCCAGAAATGGTCATTCTGGTCCCTCTTGTCTTTGTCAGACCCACCCCATCACTAAAGGATATGCTAGAATTTAAGATTTGCGGAACGAGCATGTCCACAAGTTGGATGACTTAATCGCCTTTTTGTCCCAACCTTTTCAACGCTGCCGAGCATATCACCAACAAAATTTGCCAAAATAGTGTAGATGTTCGATGTCAGATGACTGTAATTAGTTTACTCATGAGTGCAGTATAGTCAGATACATACATTTGCGGAGTGGCAAGCTGGAGAAACCAGAAAGAAGACTTCGCTGGCAACTTCGATACCACTGGGCGGAAATTCTACTTTACAAGTTTTCCAGTTATGAAAGCCCAGTAAATGCAGTTTTTGAAGGAAGAAGCACGTTGTATACGCTTACCCACACTCTCCCAAGTACACTGATTTCCAGTGGCTTCCGGTGGTAAGCGAAGGGGGGGGGGCATTAAACGAAACTTTAAACAGAAAATGTTCAGGTGATTTCCAAAAGCCCGGTCCATAGCCTAGTGTTTTCAGAGGGCCACCAGGTTAGACTTCTCTAATTAGGGGTTATGAGACCAGGTAGCTGCGGTGTTAAATCCGAGAGCAGGACTAACAGCGCGTGGACGGCAACCACTTAGGAAATGTTTACATGAGTGTGCAATTCGAACAAACTCGTGATCATATTTGTGAAAAAATATTAGTAACACTTTTGGCAGGTATCATCACTTGAAGTCCGTTACAGGTAATCACTGAGGGAAATTTAGTCGCGAAAATCCACTGATTTTCAACAAATTGGTATCTACACAAAAGTGAATTGTAAAATCTTGAGGACTGTTAAGTACCTCGAAAGGGCTCCTCTATTCTTATTCATTTTTCCCAAGAGTCCAATTTGAGCGTCGAATTATTGAAGGTGTACGATTTTAAGCTCCTACGTGTATTACAGAAGAATGTTGTGAGGATTTGAAGAATTTTAAGGGATGTCGACAGAATAAGGGTTTGCTTTCTCCAGAAAAATCGGTCATGTCAGTATAAAAGGGCGTCCAAATGCACTATAATGAATATCCTGAATATCCTGGAATATCCTGATTAGTAGCTGGATATTTATGGCCACAACCAGTGAAGGTGAGTTGCACCGACAACAGCTAACTAGCATGGCAGCGCGTCTAAATATAGGAAGTAAAGGGCTTAGTATTTCGACAGCTGCGCAACAATAAGAAACTAAATGTGATCGTGTCATGTCGCTCGGAGTCTTAACCTTCCTATTATCGAAAATGGAATGAAATATAACCTACATATGAAGTTTAGGGCTTTTTTCCAGATGGCTGTTGCCAGAAAACGTCAAGCCCGAAGGTTCGAAACTGTTTCCGTTCGGTCAGCTTAACTTTGCAGCATCGCTATTTGATCAGCTGGATCCCCATTTTTACATCTTATTCCCTATAATTCCATTCCTAATTGACCAGCTCATAGAAAATGACTGACGTCAGTTACAAAAACGTTTGCTTAGCATGATAACATGGACAGAAATTGGAGTCTGAAACTCGCCAACAAGGGGGGATATCTTAACTATATATTTATTTCTATTTGTGGTTACGTGACTGCATTTTATCTCGAGGCTGGGGCAAAAGCTTATTATTACTGAAGGCTGCTCAAGTAAAAAATTGTCTACGAAATGCGGGTAAGGACTTCTGTGTTACTAATATAATCGTACTAGCTTTATTGGTTAGGATTTGGCATACCTATACCTCAGATACTGGATCAACTTAGGCTGATTGCAATTGACAAAAATATGGAAGTGATTTTCAGCATTCCAAAACAAGATCCGAAAATGTACACTCAAAGAATCTTACAAAACTCTATAACAGGAGACCTAGAGGGATAGACTGATGACAGTTTAACTTCGCCTAGGTTTTGCTCACTAAGACCTGAAATCGGGAGTTCGACTGTTTGAAAATTTACTTGATATGAGTGATTCATAAATGGCACTAACAAGTCGTTAAAAAATCTAAATTGGTATAGATTGAAACGATCTACAACTGTAAACCAACGCAAACATCGAATATGTAAAAACGACACAAAAATATGCAGGTATGATAATATCCAGAGCTGACTTACCATTCCACTTGGGGTCTTCACTTAAGACGCGCTCTTTTTCTAAACTAGCTGGTAGATTGACGGGAACCTTGGATGAGGAGTCTTGGATTTCCCGGATATCATACACGGGCAATCTCAGATCATCTGGACCGTGGGCGAAGGCACAATGCAGTCCATTTTTAACACATGCCCCGGTTTCGGTAGTCTCATAGATGCAATTGCCCGTCTTGAAATATCGGGGATGATAACGTCTTTCGGTATCGCCGGCGTTGCGATGAGCATAAGGACAGCTAAATGAATGTTCAAACGTTAAAATGGTCTTATGCGGATGTTAGAAAGGCAGTAAGACAGAAATCGCATCAAACTATTTCCTGTTTAAAAACGCGTAAAAGTGATGTGATGTAAACGAATTTCGAGTCCATTTTCGTTAACCAAGCCAACATTAAAAATGATCTAATTCAAAGTCAACGTGCAAAAAGTATCGTTACGAACCCCAAGCAAAAAAATTAAAGAAGACCCGAAAAAGAAATGCCCTAATAAAACAACCAGTACTTTGATATTTGACATTTTGCTATTTGCGAACCAGCAATTTAGCCTAAATTATGGTTGAGTTACTTCGTTGCCACAAGTGCCGAGATCGGAGAAGAAATGACAACAAAAATTTGATAATTCGAACAATCATGCTCACTAAAATATAGACGGAAGATGACTTACGAATCACCATCCGGACAAGTTCCAGCGTTTTCGTCGTATTTATCACAATAGACGTCAGGGTTATAATTGAAGGTGCCATCTGGTCGTTTTATAGGACGCCGCCGTCTCTGGTTCGGGAAATGCCAATAAAAACATGTGTATGGCCTATGATTCTGACACTGCTGTTCCAGGAAAAGAGGACACTGCGAAGTGCGGAATTCATTTAGGTACCTAATTCATAAAAATGGCCCAAATATATAAAACCTCACTTTAAATGTCTAGAACGCTCCATTCCTTCAGGTTGTTGCCTGCTAGTTTTTTGAAGATTTAAGCTGCCCGGACTAATTACCATTGTCATAATTTGCTGTCAGGAGTCCGCAGATCCACCCTGAAGCCATGTGCATAAATCTCAATATGAACGTCAATTACGTCCAATCAGATACAAGGTTAAGTTAGACAAGGCCATGACAAGGTCACGAAAGCGTATGACGAACAGAACCATTCAGGCCCCTATCATCTTTTTCGATGTTGACCCAGATATCATATTAAATAGACAGTAATTCCTATAACATAAAATTAACAATGAAATTTTCAGGGCATTTTGACCATCGTTAGAACTCTATTTCATGGGTGATTGAATTCGAAATTGAACCTGTAAACTCAAGGACAACATTAAATTTCTATCTTAGTCTACTGAACTCAATACATTAATAAACTTTTACTCTGCAGCTGTAACGGTATGTCCATAGTACTTAAAAATATAAATTTCCCAGTAATTTTCAGATCGAGTAAGCACCCACTGTAACATACTTGTATGTAAACTGGAAAATCGGCATCCCAAGAATTATAATTCGGTATGAGTTCTGTGGAAAACATTGGTTTATTGTGTAAATTTTCGAACATGGCACACCAGGTCGTCGTCAGACGGATGGAAATTGTGCGAAACAGTTAACTCGAAATGATGGCTAACAGAAGTTTATATAGTGGGTACGGTAAGTCCATAATTGTCCCCCGCATGTGATTGTGCGGTCAGTGGGGAACTCATTGTCGACTGCAATTAATCGCGAGGTCGGTGGTGGCTGCCCTGGTGGTATACACCATAAGCCACTGTTTCCCAAAGAACTCCTTCTACCGAATACTTGTATACGTACATGCTCAGGTTCTGTTGATAAAAGGGCCAGCCTGATATAAAAATTGTTAACGAACAGTGTTAACAAACAGTGAAAAAACTCCTCCAAATTTACTTGAAACAGACCACATGAATTTTATTTTATTTATTTCCGCGTAGAAAAAGCTGTAGCTCGTGGGAGTTTAAACGTGTGTTTAAAATAGGTTTGTCTGTAAGGATAGGGTTTATAGGGATACGAACGACGGGGCCCCTTGGGCCTTAAATATACGAATTATTATTATTATTAAATGATCCTCGTCCCCTAATAACAAGGCGACCGTGAATCGGCAACAAACTGAGTACGAGCGTACGAAAATTCGTACGGGATTCGTTTAGGAGGTTGGTACACGAACCCGTAGCGAATTCGGTCCAAACTTTCTTACCTTATTTTTCATGTGGACAGCGGCCACAGCTTCTCTTGAAATAGGCCCCCACTTAGTGCAGATGCAGTGTAGCACTTGTTGGAGAGCGTTCGGATGTGTATTTGGCGTAAAATAAAATTTAAAAGCTATAGCCTGAGCAGCTTGTAGGACCGTTTGTGGTCCATTGACGGACCATTTGCGTCTTCCGGTGGTTGTTCAAACCAAGAGTCTGGAAAAGAACAAAAATATCCCTGAGCATCAGACGTTAAAGGACGGAAGTTGAAGCGTTAGATGCAAAGAACGCCCTTTTATGCTATTATCATCCGAAGAGCATTAAGTTCCTTGTCCGAAATCGAGGCTTAGAAAACAGGATCCATGAATGTGTTTGGATTATCACTGCCTAATGATGCCGTGTAGGCAGTCTCGTAACTTAGTTTTAATATAGCAGGTCACTTACCACCTGCTGTTGGTATTCGTTGCATTATAAGGCCTCTTTGAATTTATAAAGGGCCCTCAAGCTGGCCTTTGGTTTAATGACCGGCCTTTGGGCAGCGTGTATGGTACAAGAAATTTCCACGCTTGTTTAATTTCATCCATTTTGGTCTGTACTCGATGAATGTGTGTGATCTTAGCCAGCGCAGGCATTTCTTCAAACGGCCTGTCATCTGATGGCCACGTAGCCCTTTGCAAAGGCTATTGCTGTTGACTACAAAAAAAATGTTGCATTGCTATAATCCCATACCTACGTACGAAAATGATCTGCTGGCAGTCGTGGTAACACTGTTGTCCGAATTTTCAGACTTGAACTCCTGAAACTACAGAACATTAGCAACCCAAATCTGCGGCACACCGAGACGACAGAGAAATGTATGTCCTTGTGGATGCCGGAAACACATTCTTTTAAAAAATAGGACATTTCCTTGTCCTATGGGGGGCGCCGAGTTCGCCTTAGGTAGCCAGATATAAAAAGCTACAACCCAACAGACAAAGGAGTGTAAACTATGTGCTAATTCACTGCTATGATCAAAGTGATTCTCAACATTCTTATAATCAACGAAGGCTAAACCTATATAATTTTTTGGCTATCGTACAGTGTTTTGCACGAAAAAAAACTAACCGTCGATAACTAGAGAGCCCTCAGAAGGCGCATTAGAAGCCAGCTATTTAGGCTAGACTTAAACTGCGTTAAAACTTACTTCCTGGTGACAATGAACCGCTACGGTGCTCATAGTTTAGAGTTCATTTTAATCGACTTAAGTGTGTCGCTACGCTACTTGTTTTAGGGGTTGCGACAGTTTCCTACGCATGCATTCCAATCTGCCTAAGTAACTTTCAAACAGGACAGAAGAAAACTGTCTAATGGACCATGCCGTTTGATATCATTCCATAGGTAAATGGTGTTGTAAAAATCGTACACCATCTCACTCTAACCATATAGAAATGCATACTTTTCAAGGAACATTTTGGGCAGTCGCCTAGTGTGCAGCACACACTGTCTGCAGGACTGTGGGCGTACTTAACAATGTATAGCTATATATTACAAAATTGCTTCCAATTAGTCTTTGGAATAACACCCCGAAGAACCACTTTATCTGGGCAAAACGGGAACTGATGTATTTTCGTCCCATTCCATGCGTCTAAATATGAACGTGACTTGGCACGCTGCGAAAACTGGCGTGGCAGGTACGAGTTAATAGCATTAAATTTTAAAACAGCTTCATCTGCTAGTGCAAAAGTCTTCCTCTGAGGTTCTTAAGCCACATATTTAAAATTCTATGCATGAAAAGTAGACGACTCGATCGCTGCTGTTGATTGCATCGACACAGACCATTCC